ACAACATACACACACGCGCGCGCCGATTACACCGCACTCACACCCAATCACACACCGCGCGCGCATGTACAACACGCCATGCGCACCACACACACACACTACCACACACGCGCGCGCCGCACACTACCACACAACATCACACGCGCGCGTCGCACATCACACACACGCACGCACTCACACCGCAGTCATACACACGCGCGCGGCAAATGTGAGACACACGTTACACACCCACACACACACACACACCACCCACCACACAACCCCTGGCATCGTACGTCTAATACTCCCCACTCGCACCCACCACACAACCTCCAGCATCACACGTCGAATACAGTAAACACCCGCATAAAAGAACCCGTGATTTTCTGTTTCAGGCTGAAGAGGTTCTTATATATATGGTACATAGTGAGAAATCAGCCTGAAGAGGTTCTTAAAGAGGTTCTTAATTTTTTTTGGAGGGGGGATATTGTGTACATTATCTAGGTAAAATTGGCTTTAATTAGTGAATAATTGACACTAATTAATTAACCAACTGCTTAATATTAGAAATTATATGTCTGTTTAAATTCATTTGAGTTAATTTATTTATCATCTTTAAGTTTCTTATCATGCAACACACAATGAAAAATCAAATGCTGTGAAAATTGATTTGACTAATAGTAGACAGTTTCCAATGGTGTAGCACACATACTTGGATTGCCCCAGTTTGCTCTAATTTTCGGTATTTTTTATATATAAGAACCTGTTTAATTTATCAGGCTGAAGAGGTTCTTATATAATAGGTGCTTTCTTGGTCCAATTTCAGCCTGGAGGTTCTTTTATGCGGGTGTTTACTGTTTTCCCCACTCCCACCCACCCCCACAAACCGCAGAAACACACAGATGACACCTTAATTGTTACCGTCCATCTTACTCTTCGTTTCTGGCAATCGCCATCGGCAGACATCATTTTCTAATGGCATGCCGCCGATTAGAGAGCGCGACGGATGTGGCCTATGTCCTTATTGATCATCAGGGACAACGGATGACACATTGAGAAAGAGAGAGAGAGAGAACAAGAGCGCGAGAGAGAGAGAGAGAGAGCGCGAGAGAGAGAGAGAGAGAGAGAGAGAGAGCGAGAGAGCGAGAGAGAAAGGAGATGTCAACGTCCCCGGAATTCTGTAATGAAAACTAATGTCGGGAGCGAGTGTCGGACAGCCGACAGGTATAGATCGGGCTCATTACACGTCGCTCATGTTATTATGTATAACCCATGATGGGGTGTGCCTGCGTGCGTGCGTGTCTGCGTGCGTGTCTGCGTGCGTGTGTACGTGCGTACGGACGGACAGGCGTGCTTGCATGAGGGTTGCATGAGTGCTTGCATGAGTGTGTGCGCACGTACGTAAGACATTTTTGTGCGGGGCATATGTGAGTGCGTGCGTGCTTGCGTTTTGGTGTTAGTGCATGCGGGCCTGCACGTGCGTGTGTGCGTACGTACATTGGGTAATGCGCGCGTGCGTATGTGCATGTGAATGCGAGTGGATGCCTTCGTGCGAGCGGGGGCTCTGTGCGTGCGTGGCCGCATCGTTGCAACGTCTCTACTGTCAAACGCTATGTAACTATGTAACCATATGACATGTTGGTCCTTGAACGTAGACACCAAGTGCGAATACATACTATACCAGCTATATCATTATTCTACACATGAAGAGTATTCACCTGTCGGCATAGTCATTGCAAGTGACCTCGCGTAATTTCTGGCATTTCTAGCCAATCATTGTCATGATAGAACATTCTAGAAACACAATGCTTAGCAACGAACTCCCACAAAGTGGGCACCCATGCGCGAAAAAAAGTATAAACTAATCTAGCTTAGCCTACCTAGCAGCAATATCTAATGAGTATCGCGTGGTTATCTCGTTAAGACAGATGGGTCTGGTACGTAGACTGTGGGTGGTGGACAAGGCCGTGGACCTGTGAGCAGTTGTCACTGGTCATTACAGTGAGGGGCTCACGCGCCGTGAGTCCGCCACTCACAAGATGATGTTACTTCACTCGGCGTGAATTATTAACGGTTCGCATACACGATTGTGTGTGTGTGCACACGTCGTCAACGCGGCTAGCGTCAACATCCTGCAATGTAAAGTCACACTACCCCCCCCTCCCACACACACACACACCCACACCGTCGCTACCCCGCCCGCGCACAGGTATACGCGCGCTAAGTTTATGTGACCACTGACTGTGTGTCTGATCTGTAATCTGTGATCTGTGATCTGTGATCAGTGATCTGTGATCAGTGATCTGTGTCTGATCTGTGTTGACAACGGTCATAGTAACCAGCACCGCCACGCCAATCGTCTGCTACAGCTCACACCTATGCTTATCACTCACCGAGTAATTGGGGTGGAAAGTATCGTAGGATCTGGCCAGACTCCGATAATTATCTATTCTAATAGATCCGTAGAAGATGCAGCCTCGATCACCGTAATACCCACCCCGATGGGGCGCGTTGTTCAATGTCTTGTCGAATAAATATCGTACGCCATCTTTACGCGTTACCGTGTATTGCGCAGGCCGAGTACCTTCAGCTGAGCAACCAGTGCAAGGACTACGCCGTCGAGTTACTCGCCCTCTGTCGGAGCACGGAAGAAGTGCTGGGCGTGCTGGACGGCGACGGACCGGCGATGCCGACGCCGCAGCCGACAGACACGTCATCGAGTCGCGATGACGTCGCCGAGCAGCAATTCGGCGCGGAGGACTACAGCGACGCCTTCTGGCGGGGGAATAAGCTCAAGGTCGTCAAGATGGCTATCAAGTACGAACAGAAGAAGGTGAGGGGGAAAGACGATGACGTGTTTTAGTGATTGCGTTCTTGTTTTGATTAACGTCGCTCGCTGCTGCTACGATTGCTATTACAACTAACATTATTACGCATAATTAATATATTTTTCTATAAACCGCGCCATCTATAGCACGCTGCCATTAAACTGGCAACCACTCAGCAGATGATATGAAATTCATCGAATTGCTAAACACAATAATCTACACTTGGTATCAATACTAATGACAACGAACGTCGGGTTATAATGGAGTGTTACTCGCGTAATATAATAATCTGATGACAGAGAACTTTGCAAGGCTTCGGTGCATACGTCTTGTACATGATCCTATATATATATATCTCTTACATAAAGGGCGAGTCTGTTTTTAGGTCTGTCTGTCTGTCTATCTCCCCCCCCGTAAGAGGTCACCCCCAACACCATATATATTCTGAATCAGCATGACGCGACGGCGACGCGACGACCCAAAAAATATAAAAAATACAAAAAATACAAAAATCTCAAATTAAAATTAAAATTATTTTTCATTTTTATAAATGTCTGCGCGGTGGCGCGATATACCCTCCTACTAATTCACTGCGGCCATTCACTTGCATGTTGTCTGCATTTTGACCGCTATTTTTGTAGCTCTATTGTCGAACTATTAAAACTAATTGTGAGCTTCGAAAGAGAGACAAAAGCGTCGTACACGACTACTGCTGAAAGGTATAAATGCTCAACTTGCTGCTTATTTTTCCCGCATGCACTCAGTGTTTGTCGTTAGCACTCAATCAGCATGACGCGAACACCATTTCAGGCCAAAAAAAACCATTTAGGCCACTTACATAAAGGCGAGTCTGTCTTTCTGTCTAAACCCTCCCCCCGTAAGAGGTCACCCCAACACCATATATATCTTAATCAGTCATTGACGCGACGACCATTTTAGGCCAAACAAAAATCACAAAAATACAAAAACTACAAAAAATCTCAAATTACAATTAAAATTATTTATTATTTTCATAAATGTCCGCCGGTCGCGCTATATACTCTCCTACTAATTCACTGCTCATCCATCGCAGTGCATGCGCGTGCCGTGCGCGTGTGTGTGTGTGCTGCGTCGGCGTTGTGTACTGTGTGCGGTGTGCGGTGTGTGTGTGCGGTGGCATGGGGGTATCGGTGTGTGTGGCGGGGGCGGGGCTCCAGCGGTCGGTAACCCAGACAGCCTCTACATTCCTCTCTCAAAAAGATGCAACACAACAATGTTGTTACCAAAAGCGCTGCAGAACTGAACAGAAGTCAAATTCTTGGCACAGATTTATAAAATCAGAATAAGGTCAGTACAGCCGTCATGGCAGACTCAATTATCTTTTTTCTTTTACTCCGGGCATCGCCGGGTAGCCCAGCTAGTATATATATAGATATATATATAGCTATAAAATATAGCTAGAGCCCGTCTAACGCTGTACTTCTTGTTTATCTGTCAGTTTGCCTGTCTGTCTGTATGACTGTCTGTCTGTTTGCCTGTCTATCTGACTGTCTGTCTGAGCTGGTCTGGTCTGTCTGTCTGTCTGTCTGTCTGTCGTCTGTCTGTCTGTCTGTCGTCTGTCTGTCGTCTGTCTGTCTGTCTGTCTGTTGTCTGTGCTGTCTCTGTACATCTATGGTCACTGTTACCAGCATGTTTATCGCAGCAAGATTGCTGTCACGTCTCCCGTACGCTATGTCCTCACGTGAGGTCGACACGCCTCACATATCTCACACCAAACTACTCATGAACACGTGTTCTTTGTGATGTGCACCCGAGTGTGGAACACTCCTCCGTGTTATCATCAATCAGTCGCACATCTCTGAATATATCAAATCCAAATAGAGACCAGTCAACCCAATAGAGACCAGTCAACCCAATAGGGACCAGTCAACCCAATAGAGACCAGTCAACCCAATACGCAGTACCAGTCTCCAATAGAGACCAGTCAACCATAATAGACACTAGTCAACCAAATAGAGACCAGTCAACCAAATAGGACAGTCAATCCAATAGAACAGTCAACCATATAGACACTAGTAACAAATAGAGGACCAGTCAAACCAAATAGAGACAGTCAACCCAATAGACCCCAGCCCTCCCAATAGAGACCAGTCAACCCAATAGACACTAGTCAACCAAATAGAGACCAGTCAACCAAATAGAGACCAGTCAACCCAATAGACCCCAGCCCTCCCAATAGAGACCAGTCAACCAAATAGACCCCAGCCTTCCCAATAGAGACCAATAAACCCAATTATATTATAGATCCCAGCCTTTCCAATAGAGACCAGTCAACCCAATAGACCCCAGCCTTCCCAATAGAGACCAGTAAACCCAATTATATTATAGATCCCAGCCTTCCCAATAGAGACCAGTCAACCCAATAGACCCAAGCCTTTCCAATAGAGACCAGTCAACCCAATAGACCCCAGCCTTCCCAATAGAGACCAGTCGAACCCAATTATATTATAGATCCAGCCTTCCCAATAGAGACAGTCAACCCAATTATATTATAGATCCCAGCTTTCCCAATAGAGACCAGTTAACCCAATAGACCCAAGCCCTTCCCAATAGAAACCAGTCAACCCAATAGACCCCAGCCTTCCCAATAGAGGCCATTCGAACCCAATCATATTATGGACCCCAGCCTTCCCAATAGAAACCAGTCAACCAAATAGACCCCAGCCTTCCCAATAGAGACCAGTCAACCCAATAGACCCAAGCCTTCTCAATAGAGACCAGTTAACCCAATAGACCCCAGCCTTCCCAATAGAGACCAGTTAACCCAATAAACCCCAGCCCTCCAATAAGGACCAGTCAACCATAGACCTCAGCCTTCTCAATAGAGACCAGTCAACCCAATATACCCCAGCCTTCCCAATAGAGCCAGTTAACCTATAGACCCCAGTCAACCCACAGAGACCAGTCAACCCAATTATATTATAGACCCCAGCGTTTCCAATAGAGACCAGTCAACCCAATAGACCCCAGTCAACCCACAGAGACCAGCAATCCAATAGAGACCAGTCAACCCAATAGACCCCAGCCTTCTCAATAGAGACCAGTCAACCCAATAAAGACCAGTCAACTCAATTATATTATAGACCCCAGCCCTCCCTATGGAGACCAGTCAACCCAATAAAATCCAGCCCTCCCAATAGAGACGTCGAGCTATCGGTTGCCGACGCGTGGGAAAGTGGATAATGAGTGTGCTGCATGCCATATAACGTGACATCGTTGGTCATAGCTGGGCTCAGCTCGTAACGAGGGAGGCAGGCGGCAGTTAGAGCTTGCTTAGTTTCGCGATCGCCTACATTAGACACTATTAGCAGATTAGCACACGCAGTCATCTGTATGGTCAGCTGCTATATATATATATATATATATATATATGTGTGCTGTGTGGTGTGTGTGTTGCTGTGTGTGTGTGCGGTCGTGCTGTGCGTGTGCGTGTTGCGTGTGCGCTGTCGAGTCGTGCGTGTCGCGTGTTGCGTGGGTGCGTGTGCTCGTAGTGCGTCGTAACCTTGCTGACGCGTGTGTGTGTGTGCGTGGACAAGGTGAGCGATGAGAGAGCAGAGAGAGCAAGAAGAGCAGAGAGAGACGAGAGAGAGATGAGAGAGAGAGACTGAGAAGGAGAGAGAGAGAGAGAGAAGGCAAGGAGAGAGAAGAGAGAGCGAGAGCAGGGAAAACAGAGAGGAATCGGGAGAATAAGAAATATAGGAATGAACAATGAGATATAGAAGTGCATCACAGAGAAGGTAACAGGCTTGTTTCGACGGGGCGATGCTATTAACGTTTCACAAATGAAGATGTTATATTGATGAGGCGGCATCCACTCTACAAAGCCCCCAGGGAGCACGCGTCCACTCTGTGAGCACCTGATATTCATAACCTGCCGCCAAACGGATTAACTCTCACATGCCTTAAACGAGCAGTTTACTGGCCTCTGACTGTATGCGCTCTCCCCTGTGTGATATGTGTTGTATATTCTAATACTATATCTTTCTATTCTCCATCCATCTCGATCCGGCTCTATCAGATCCGTCTGTTGTTCGTTGTCGTCGTCGTCGTTGTTTGTTGCTAACTGTTAGTTGTTGTTGTTGTTGTTGTTTTGTTGTTGTTAATGTTGTTGTTTTTGTTTGTTGTTAATGTTGGTGTGCTTATTGTGTCGTCGTGGAGATGCTTGGGTGGTGTGTCGTGCGTCGTCGTCGTCTCTTGTTGTTGTTAATATGTTGCTGCTTGTTGCTGCTGTTGTTGTTGTTCGGTGCGTCGTCGTCGCTTGTTGTTGTTAATGTGTTGTTATCGTGTCATCGTCCTGGAGTGGTGTGGTCGTCGTCGTTGTCGTCGTCAGTCGTCGTCGTGTCGTCGTCGTCATTCGTCGTTGTCGGTCGTCGTTCGTCGTCGGTGCGGTCGTCGTCGTCTTAATAAGCGCTGTTAATCGGCTGCTGTTGTTCGCGTCGTTCGCGTTGGTCAGAGACACTCACTACAACTCTGGTGCCGGCCTGCTGAAATTAGCAATCGCCGTCGAGTCCCGTAGCAGAAGCTGCTCTGAATGATCGGGCGGGATTGCGCATGTGTGATATAACGTTATATTCCGGGGGAGAAACGAGCGTGGCATTAGCAGCGCTCTGCGTTCTCGGAACTGCGGAGGAACGCGGTGGCATGCCGGCCTGCGGGAATGTTTGTTAACCGCAACGATCGAGTGTACACTCTCCGTTTTCAAACAGTGTTACTGCTATTGGCAACTCCGCGTTTATCAGCGTCAGAAAACTGACTGTGCCGTCCGGCTCTGACGTTGGAACAGTTGTGTCTCTGCAAAACGACAGTTACTATAACGGTGGTTCTATAGCGAAATAACACACGCGTGTCTAGTTCACAGCTTCCCCCGTCCAACGACAGGCGTTAGAAGCTGCCGTAGGAAAGGACTGAAAGAGATACTATTGCATGCCGTAGTTTATCGACCTATATTATCACTGCTCTCTTCTATGTTTATCTTCTCAGCACGGTCCGATCTGCA